CTACGTCGCACAGCCGCCGCCGCCGCCGCCGTCGCGGGCCAGCCTGGCGGCAGCGCTGGCGCACACAGGCGACGGCTCGCTCAGCACCGCATCCTGGCTACAGCCACCACCGCCGGTGAAGCCGCCGCCACCGTCGCGAAACAGCGTCCCGCAGCAGCAGCGGCCGGAGCAGCAGCAGATGTTGACTCAACAGCTATCCGAGTCGTACGGATCTGAATCTACCGTATCCACGTTGCAAAACATGTACGGCGGATCTACAGGGCTGAGGCCGCAGCTTCAAGCCGGGACGTGGGGTCAGGAAAGGTCGATGCTGATGCCGATGCTGATGCCGACGCCGACGCCGACGCCGACGCCGACGCCGACGCCGATGCAGCAGCAACAGCAGCAGCAGCAGCAGCAGCAGCAGAGGCATGCGGAGGTGTTGGTGGCGACGGTGGAAGCGGCGGCTGAGAGGCACCAAGGTCCGACGTCAGCGCAGGTGGCGGCGGCGTTCGCGGTGTACCTGTCGGGATGTGCTTGCGGCGTTGGCGGAGGTGTTGGCGGCGTTGGCGGCGTTGGCGGCTGCGGAGAGCGGCTACCGGGTGCTGCTACAGCCGGCAGCCGCCTGCCCCCCCGCGCACCGGTGATTCCTGTGCAACCACAGCAGCGAAGTGAAAGGAGAATGTCAGTATGGAGAATTAAGCATCTAAATTTGTGATTACAGTCGAGTGGAGCCGTTAGTCCCCCCCATTTAAACTGGCAAGAGTTCTTTTTTTCGGCCCACTATCATTTTTGTTAGTATTATTCTGATGGCACATGCATGGTGAAGTGGAGGATCCTGGTGGTTTGTTCGGTGGGGGTGTTTGGTGGTTGTGTGGTTTAAGCGTGTAAAGTGGATGTGGCCAGCATGCAGACGGTGGACAGACCGGTGGGACCATCCAGCCGCGTCAGCAAGTAGTGTGCGCCCCCTCGGCCCATGGTCGGCATGGGCCCGCACAGGTCACAGTGTACGACCTCCAGTGCGACCTCCAGTGCTACAGCTGGTTGCTGCGGCTGGGGTGGGCGGTTGCGGTGGCCTTCACGGTGACACAGGCCTCGCAGACGGTCTCCACCGCCTGGCATAGTGCCGCTGGAGTGACCTGTGGTCCCTGCACCAGCTGCTTGCTTATCAGCTGCTCCAGCACGCAGTAACCGAGGTGACCGTACTGGCAGTGCAGGCGTTGTGCTGCAACAAGTTCAGCGACTGAGCATTTGGCGGCCCCGGAGCTGCCGTTGCCTGGTTGCCCTTTGCCGTTGCTGTCACCATCCGGCTGGCCTCCACCGGTGTGGCTGCCGGCGGTGCTGCCGCCACGGGCGCTGGGGACGGTGGCGGCACTTCCGCCAGCGCTGCTACCTGCGGCCTGGCCCCCGCCAGCTCTGTCGCCCGTGATGCCGAGGGCATTGATGGTGATGTCGGTCGGCGCCTGCAGGTCCATGTCCATGCATAGTGCCCACACTCGCTCCATGTGATGATAGACGGGCTGTTGTGCAGGAGACTGATGCGTGAGAACCAGCAGCCTGTCTTGTCCGTGCTGAACATGACCGAGCAGCTGCGTGTCATGATGTCTGTCGACCTCTTATGAGGTCGACAGATGTCAGGGTGAGGCCCGAGCTGGGGACATGCAGCATGTTGTGCAGCCGGACATTGTGTCCATCGCGTGTATGCAGGTGCAGCTTCCCTGTTCCCATGACATCGGCCGGCTGGTTGTTTCCCCACTCGATTAGATGTGGCACGCCGGTGGGGACATGGTTGTGCACCCGTGAGGTGGTATGGTGAGCCGAGGATGACTCGTGAGCTGCTGCCACTGCCGTCGATGACCAGCACTGTGGCACGGCTCTGGTGTGAGCTGCTTCCGCTGCTGCCCGAGCCGCTGCCACTGCTGCCGCCTGCAGTGTGGCCACCGTTGCAGCGGCTGTTGCAGCATCGAGCATGGCCGCGTTCATGTGCTCCGTCAACCCCCACTGTTACCGCCATTGCTGCTGCCAGTGCCCCTGCCACCACTGTCACGGTGGCGGTTGCGGCTACCTCAACTGATTTTGCTGGCGGCATGCAGCTGCTTGAATGTGTTGCTGCGATGAAGGCCGACGGATTCGTCCGCCTGCTTAACGGGGCACTCGCAGGTGTAGTGACCAGGCTGTCCGCAGTAGCGGCAGGTGTCGCTGGCCCCCACGGTGCCTGCAGCACCGGCAGTGCTGCCGACTCCACTGGTGGCACAACCAGGGCCGACAGATCCCACCAGGCTGGTCTTGCTTGCTTTGGTCTCAAGGTTGTTCTCCTTCTCCCGCAGCATGAGCACGAGCTGTGGGGTCGTTAAGTTGGGCTGATACATCATGAACTCGACGGTGATGGTGCACTGCGGAGGCAGGCCATGGAGAATGGCGTGGCACATCGTGCTCTCGTCCCACTGGCCGCCGGCCATGATTATATCGCTACGGAGCTGCTCTGCCTGCTGAACGAAGTCAGCGGTCATCTTCCCATCACACATGCTCAGCTGCTTCTGCAGCTCCTACAGGCTCAGCCGGGCCTGAGATGCAGAATGCAACTGTTGCTGTAAGAGCTGCACGGCAGCGAGAGTGGTCTGGCAATTCCTGAGCAACTGCTTGATGGGCAGTTCACAGGACAGACGCAGGTAGCCGAGCGCCTGTGCGTCCTCCTGCAGGGTGTCTTGAGCGTTGCGGCCCGGAGGCGACGGGTTGTTGATGTAGTCTTCAACTTGGACGTTGCGAGGAAATCGCCTAAGTCGCCGAGCCACTGGGAATAGTTCGACCCATCCGAGAGGAGGACACCCTTACATCCCTTCCCCATGATGGTTGCCTAGCAAGCGTGACTGATCAAGCCGCATTCCCCGCCGCCTTTCTGGCAACTAGTTGATGGTATGATGCATCATTGTTGCGGTGTACGATGGCGCCTGATGCGACTTATGCCCTTTCAGCCTCCCAGGCATGTCCCCACTTGCCTCACAGCCACCGATGCATCTCACGGCAGGGGTCTAATTGTGTGCGTGTTTGGATGCAGTGTTCCCCTCCACCTTTGGGCAACTAGTTGATGGCGTCATACATCGTTGGCGCGGTGTACGGTGGTGCCTGATGCGATCTATGCGTCCAGAAGCCCTTTCAGCCTCCCAGGCATGTCCCCACAACTGCCCCACACAGCCAGCGGGGGTCTAACTGCGTGCGCGTTCACATGCGGCATGCCACGCCGCCTTTCTGGCATCTATTGATGATATGATGAATCTTTGTGCGATGTAGGGCTGCGCCTGATGCGATCTCGTTTGCGGAAGGCCCCCCTGAGTGCTGCCAAGCATGTTATTCTCTCATGAGACAGTGTGAAGGTTAACGAACTGAGTATGCGACCAACACATAAAACATCGCATGTGAATTGTTATGTCATGCGATTCATCAAAGTAAATCGTGTGTGTTTGGTGTGTGTTAGCTTAGGCTGCGTTAAGCTTTACGCAATCAGCCTTCATACACATGAAACGCAACATGCATTCGCATGTGAATAGCCATGCGGACTGCGTGTGTTTGATGTGCGATTGGACGCGTATTGCTTTACGCATTGTCTCCCCACACGCACGAATCGGTATATGGAATCGCATGCGTGTCGCCTTGCTACACATGCGCGTATGCTTCAGGTTTCAACATACACACGGATGAATTGTTCAAGTCGACCAAAACGACGCAAGTTTATTTCCAAACGAACCTTTGCAATCTAAAAATTATAAAATTTTTAAAATTTTAGCCAGGAGGGCCGATTTCCGCTTTTCCATAGCCGTTTGCGTTAGCTCTTTGCGTTAGAAAAGCATGCTCATTCGCACCTAACGCTAAGATTTGCACCGTTACGCGAACTAACGCGAGCTAACGCGGACTTAACGCGATCACCCGTCGTCATAGTGTGTCGTGGTCATGGCGAGCATGACCACAATGCTGAACGTCAGCAATTGTACCGACAATGACAACATTTACTAGCTTTATATTCACTAGCAGTCCAAGGCTTTAATGAATGTATTGACTCAAGGATCAGTCTATCACAACGATAACGGCGAAGGAAAAGAAGCCAAACTAACCTTACACATTGTGAAAAGAAAAAGTTATATGTAAAACTGAGTATTTGCTAATTATGTACTGGGTTAAATACTGGCTGAACAGCGACGCAGATCGGTCGTGCGATGATGCCGTGCGAAATCTTGCCGCCGCCGAAAGGTGCGTAACAGCACTACCTACATTTTGGTTTATTTGGCATTGTAAATTTGCATTTGATTATGTGGTTGACCACGTTTGGCAGGCAAAATGGAACACAGTGCTTTAACCACACAGCATCAAGCACGCTACAAGGCTAAAAATCAATATGATTAAACTTGCTGTCATATACTTAAAAGAAAAATTGTTGCAGATTCCGCTTAGCAGGTAGAGCCAGCGACGGATAGAAATCCCTTTAGGCTGTACGACTTGAGGGCCTTGTTCATTGGCCTTCTTCCCTATAGGGACTGTACGGCATCATTGGCCTTCTTCCCTATAGGGACTGTACGGCATCATTGGCCTTCTTCCCTATAGAGACTGTACGGCAGTATCATTTTTTACCTAAGAGGTTACCTTTTTAGAGTTAGAAAGAAAGGAAGAATCATTTTTTACCTAAGAGTTACAGCTTTTCAGAAAGGACTACCAAGAACTACTACTACTACTGCGACTATTATAATTTTTTGGCCGATCAGTGGCGAGCGCAATAATGAGCGGTAGCAATTATGCACTGGAGAGGGAGGGAGTGAAGGTGGCCCATAAGCGACGGGCAGTTAGAGAGGAGAGATGGACTTTGAAAAGACGTCATGATCCTCTTACTGTGATTTCCTTTGTTGAGGAGGAAAGGCCAGAGGTTGTTGCGAGGCACCTTGCATGGTTTGGAAATGCAGTCCTGAAGACTTGCCAGCCTCTGTTAAATCGTAAGGCGTTTCAAGCTGCCAAACCGAAGAGGGCATCAGAGGACATCGGAAGACACGTGGGGTTGCACCTATCCATCTTGCGATCCGGAGAGTCATGGATGAATGTGATCGGGGTCGTATCTTCCATGTGTGTGGCAATGCATGCATTTGTACCTGTATTGGAAGGTGGAAAATTTCGTTGTTCCATTGGGCTTGCTGCAATTCATTTTCCCTCGTTGTTGTGGACATCAGCTGTCATACAAGGTCTCAAGGGCAATGTCCCACCATTAACTGGCGATGGAGGCGACGGAGATGATGAAGACGACGGAGGCAGTGGCGGCGCCGAAGAGGAAGTGGAGCCGAGTGCTGAAGCTCCTGCCGGCGGCGGGGCCGCCGCCGCCGCCGC